TAGCATGCATTACCATTTTGAGTTCAAATCCTGCTTTGCATAATTGGCTCATTAGAGATAATATCGACTTCACTTTAGACACGGTAGGAAGTTCGACAGTGCCGATTCCGGTAACATGCACTCCGACTGGTATCCAACAGCAAAACGATTTCTAGTCAGCCACTCCTATGCTGGAATAAACAAAGATGTGAGCTTTCGTATACACTGTGTTTGAATTCCGCTCAAAAGTAACTTTTTAGATCTTGTCCGAACCCGATATGTGCCGTGATGATCGAGTCGTTTTATGTAAAGGCTGTAATTCAGAATTAGGGCATGTGATGAAAAGTATGTACATGATTTTAGTTTTGGAATTCGTTGTTAAATTTGATATTTTAGCCAGCAGCAAGATTGTGCTCTTTCATCATGCAGTCTGTACATTTTCTGTAAATTCCAAACCTTATATGCAGTCCAGGTAAGATTTTTTAGTCTGCTTTTCTTATAACATTTGATCAAAAGAATTTGTACGTTTTCGCTTTCCCTAGTATTTTAATCTAACACCGGTATCTCGGAATGATAGAAGACAAATTTCGCCAAAACTTTTCTGACTTCTTTCGTCTTCGAACCAAAATTTTCCACTAGTTTCTTCCCTTTTCTGCTCATTACTGTTTTGCTCTTTTGAATTTCATTGTTTTTTTTTCGATCTCCCAGACGAGCGTCTTTCTATAGCTATCTCTTATCGTTAGTAAGAGCTTTCGATGCATGTTTTGTCCAGGTTCCCTGACACCTCGGTTTTCTTTGCACAACTGGTTTTGTCTTCATGTGAAGCGCAATCTAGTCTGAAACTGGTAGTACGGTCACTGGACAAAACGCCACATGTCTTGGTGAGAAGTTTCTTCTATCTTGTCAGATATAGTTTATGTTTCTTTGTTTTTTGGTTTATGTTCGCATTCTCCAGATATGGCTACTAGATTCCTATGTGGTGGCTGCTACTGGTGAGCTCCACGAGGATGGTGAACAAGCTGAAAGTATGTTCCAAAGGGGCTGACTCAAATTTCTAGTTCGAGTTGTACACCGTCGAATATGAAATTTTTAGATGAAATTCATCCTTTTCCGGCTGTGAAGATGCTTTACAAGGTTTTCGATGCGCATACGGCAGCTACGTAAGTTTATACAAAGATTTTAACTTAGGTAGTGGCCATACTTCGCTCAAAAGCGCCCAAAAGCGTTCAAAAG